CCCACCCACCCATCCACTAATAACATTTCAATTCACTTTATTTCCATTGTCAGCAACTGGATGCCCAATATGACTTTTTGATACCAAGATCATCTAAGATGCAATACTAATGAACTTACGGTCTAAGCATAGGCCAGACTACAATCTCCTTGATGACATTCTTGGCAAACTCCAGTCCAGCAATATCGTCCCATGTGATGGGAGGTCCATGGTCCATTATCTTGGGTACCATAATAAACATGTCCATTAATAATGAAGATTTGCTTAACAAACAGAACAGTGTTATTTGTGTATGGTTTAGTAAGACATTAGGGAACCCTGTGGTGCATTTGGGAATGAAAAAAATATTAGAGTCGGCAAAAATCGGCAAGAAAATTAGGGTTGGTCGCTCGACAGGAAACACACTTATTTTTTGTTTGTCCTTATCAATATGTGACCAAGCAAAGTCACTGGTCAAGAGGACCAGCATGAGAGGTATTTGGCTAGACAAGTGCCAACTTTGACCAGGCATTGTCTGTTGACTAGCCGTTATTTTGAGCCATGTGTAACATGTAGTAAATGTTTCAATAATGAAATGCGACCAAGAAGAGTTGAAATACAGTTTGGGTAAAACCTCACCTCATTCATTATAAGCTCTACCATCTTTGGCTCTATATTTTTCAGTCTTTCATCTATTTCTGGTTCCATTCCATCATCCATGTCTCCGCTGTTCTTATCAAAACCTCTTTTCCTGGTCATACTAGTACTAGTAACAACGATATGATATTACATAGCATATTTAATGGGGACCCCAGAGGAAGGGGGTGATGGGCTATACGCCCACCAATATGTTTACCACTATTTTTGATTTATTTTTAATTGTTTGAGAAAAGAATGGCACTCTGAAGAGCCAAAGATAGTCAGTCAGGCTGTGTGTCGTGGATTCACACTACTTTGACAATGTAATGATGAAATTTATCATAAATAAGAGGATAGACACATAAAAAATGATGTCAATTTATTGAATAGAGTATGAAAAAAAAAAAACTGCTTAATTTGTTAAGTTTTTACATTACATCATGTGATGTTGATGCTACAACTTACTTTTCCATCACTTCATCATCACTATTGTTTCGTGGTACTGGAGGCACAAACTTGCTACTTGGGCCACGTCTAAACAAATATATAGACATTGAAAATGATTAGGTGGTGGATAGATGGATGGTGGGTGAGTGGTGTTAAAGCTCTCCTCAGATTTAATTGGAGGGGTTTCCTCTGGATTGTCTGGTTTTCCTCCCTCTGCAAAACATGCTTAATATCAATTTCATTTGTAAATTAACTGTGCCCTGACTTTGTTCAGCCTAGAATCTGTTTCTGGGTATGAAAAAAATGAAGCGAAAAGGTGAATTTATGGATAATGGATGGGTGGATGAGTAGTTGGAGGAAGGGAGACAGGGAGTAATGATGGATTGATTGGAGAGGGATGGATTGATGGGGGAGGGATGGAGGGAGGGAGGGATGGAGGGAGGGAGGGATGGAGGGAGGGAGGGATGGATGGGTGGATAGACAACAGCTATGTTACTGAAGTCCATAGCATAACTTCACAGAAAACTTTTACCTTGTTCCAAGTGTCCTCCTTGACAAAGCTCCATAACCATTACCACTGCTTGTTTTCTGTCTGTCATCACCAACTCCTCTATTTGCTTGATGCCCCCCTCCTCTCTCGTTTTTTGTCTTACAATCAATTATCTGCTCAATCAACAACCATTAAGAAAGATTACAATTGAATAACAACCATCATAGCAGAGTAACAAAGTAAGCTATAACCAGCACTCACATATTTGTGCTTTGCAGTAATAAATTTTGATGGTTTTGACTGTTCCTGGAAATCCTCACCATCATCCTTCCTAGTAAATAGATTTTGGCCCTGCTCTTTAATAGGCTGCATACTGGTATTGGCATTATCCTGAATAGAACAAACCCTTATTACATTATACACAGGAAATATGTACTCACTAATACTTTAACAGCCAAATTCTTGTATCATGATCCTTTTTCTAAGCTCTTCACTTTTGAATATAGCTTTAGTGCGACTTAATTATTAAAAGACCCATGTTGGGTGGTGAAAATGGGTGGACATGATCCAGCTGGGTAGATCCAACTTAAATTTGAAAAACAAAGGGTTGAGGTACAAGGAATATTACTGCAACAATTTACCAGAAGAATTGGCAGGAATGTCTCAAAAATTATTGATGAGTTGCTACCAAGCACTTTGATTTTGCACAATAACCTGACTCACTCCCACCAGTGCTTTCAGACTCTTATTACAATATTAACAGTAGTCCTATCATAATAGTGTCTGTATAGAAAACAGAATGTCACTATACCTTAGAGGGAAATGCCTTGTTATAAGAAGGGTTGGGACCTTGCGTCTGGCCATGGAGTGTAGATTTAGATGTGCCAGCTATGTTGCCATGTAAGGGCTGCCTAGTCGTAGTACTGTCTTCTGGGTATAAATTATTCAAATTATTTTTTTCTCAAGTGAAGGTGTAAGGTTTGGAATATTCATGTATTATGCTCCCAGCTAATCAGAAAGCAAGTTATGGCATATCAGGGCTAAACTAGAATAATAACTTGTCTTGTCCAATCTCTGCCTTGCCAGTCGTTTTGACCAGTAATGTTTGGCCAGAAACCAGGTATAACCAAGTTAGAGCTAATTTGGCCAGTCCACCATCAGTTACAGACCAGCCCTGCCTTTACTAATTTGTATTTTATAAAAGAAATAAAAATCTTGCTTTATGTGCTGCATGCAGTTATTTATAAAGTACTCTGGATTGGTAGAATACTCAAGAAGTTGAGAAGCACTCTGCTATTGTTATGCATCTCCTATCATTTAACTCATGTTCTTTCAATCCCAGTGTAATTTATTCAAAACAGCACATACAGTACTGTAGCACTTGTGCAYATTTGCTACTTTCTTCAATATAACAGCTTCCCACCCTATATCAATCAGCTAACTATATTGACCAATCATGAATTAATGTGGCCACCAACCAGAAAAAATTATTCTACTAACCATTTGAATAAACAAAATTCCATTTTCTCTTATTAGATGAAGTAATGTTTTCCTCTGTATCATGGCCTGTTTTTTCCATAATGGCAGGAGGATTTTGTTTGCTGGTTTCTGCATTAGGATCAAGTTTTGAGTTCCTTTGGTTTGTAAGGTTGTCCTTCCAAGAATTGTCTGAGGAAGATACTTCTGTAACCATAGAATCTTCAGAAAAGTGAGGGCTTTGATTTTGTGTATTTTTAGAAAGTTCCAATTCCTGTGATAACAAAACAGCAATAAAACAGCAAAATGACCAATCATCATGAGTTTTTCCTTTAGCTTAGTGGTTTGACCAACCAACTGGTGTCTGATTCTGATTTTTCCCCTGTTTTTAATATAGCTAGTGATAATGGATGGATGGATGGATGGAGGCAGGGAGGGAGGGAGGGAAGGAAGGAGGGAGAAAGGGAGAGGGAGAGGGAGTAATGGATGAATGAATGAATTAATAAAGAAAGGAAGGATGGAAGGAAGGAAGGAAGGAATTACTGAATGAATAAATACATAAATAAATTCCTTCAGGGTAAGGGCAGGCTGCATTTCTCTTTGTCCATTGGGGGAGGTATTATAGCTTTGCTCGCCTGATTTCTCTTGATAACATCTTTCCATACTTTACTGTTTTTAAAAGCATCTAGTGTAAGGGATGACTCCCAATTTGGACTATCTGAAAAGATAAAATTTTACCCTTTCATAAGTTTATATTTTCAAACTAGGTAACCAGATTACCCTCTTCACACACACACACACAAAACAATTACAAAATTAACAATTATCAAACATAGCCTTCATACCATTTCTGTGTCCTGTTACTAGCGCCAACACAGGTTCTGCAAAATTATTTAAACCGGAATTCGTATCCTGGCCATCTACAAAGCCACAATACTTGTCAGCATATTGTCGGGATAGTCGAGAGTAGCCTTCCCTGGATACAACACCACTAAAGAAAAACACGACAAAAATAGTCAAAAACGAGTAACATGAAAAACTAAAGAATCTTAAAGTATTGATAAAGAATTATTTTTTGCTTACCTTGAATGTAAATGGCTGATTTGATTTAAAAGACCACGGAGGTCATCAGCTTTTCGCGAAGGTGAGCTGTCATTCGACTCAGCTTCGAAATGCAGGCTTTGCCATAAACTTAAAAGTTTTGAATCACGTTCACTAAAATTCATGAGTTTCACAATATTTAAGTAGTTTTACAACATTTTTGGATCCTTGTGAACGATATAGAAGCTTAAAATTAAATGAAAATACAGTTCTCAGTGAAAATACGTGTATATACGTCCGCCATTTTGAAGTTTATACTTTTGGCGGGAAAAGTTATGCAATTTCTGATACCACCGTGAGGTAGTAGAGCAAAAAAACATGAATCATGGGAGGGGAGGGTCTATGTTTTTGTATACGAAAAGAAGTAGGCAAAATCTACATCTACATCTACATAATTTATTTGCAAAATCCAAAAGGACATGTTTTTTTTACTCGTTTCCTTTTCATGCAGCAAATAAAAGGCGTAGGACACTTAAATTGTACAACATAATTTCTTATGTTACTAGCTATGATTACAGGGAGACTTTAGATAAAAGTGCCAGACCAAAATAAAGTCTGGAAAATATATTATTTTATTGAAAAAAGCAGGTTATAGAGAATAAGAAAGTGTGCTCAATAGTACAAGCAAACAGGAAAATGAAGCAAAAAACGCGTAGTACTGTTTTTGAAGGTACATATAAAGATAATCAAGCACAGGAATAAATAATATATTCTTCAGACTTTATTATGCTCAACAAATTCTCTCTTTGATAGGATAAAAGACTCTTACAGGAAATAAGAGATGTCGACTTGGGGCAAGTGTATAATGTAATCAGAGTTGGACTGCACTGGTGGAATTATGGAGGTCACATGTACAGGGAAAAAAAGTTTTTTTAGCTCTTCTGATTTGGCCTTGGGGACTTTTTATACATGTTCAAGTACCCTGGTTGTATTTCATACAGTCCAAAGTCCATTCTAACCATTTTTAATATCCATGTGTGTAAGGGTGTCTATAACCCTCAGCCCCTTCCTCTCTGTAGTTCCTGCTAATACAGTACTCATATTTGTTACCAATTCCTCCCCCCGCCCTCCAAAAGAAGATAAGATACCATAAATAATGATAATCCCTAAATAATTATTGGTGTAAGATTGCTATTTGTTGTTCCAAATACTGATGGTAATTGGCAAATCACAAAATGTGGAACAGAATTTTGATCTTGGTCTTGTTTGTGACCAATGGAAAACTTTCAATATTTGATATTCAATAAAAACAAAAACGAATAATAATAATAATTCAACAATAAGCGTTTYCTTATTTAAGAGTTTTAATAAGTCTTTCTTAGACGTATTGTTCATTAGATTCAAAATTTCACAAGGTGTTAATATTGTACAGCACATAACAACATAATAAGAGATTACTAACTATAATTTGACACATCAACAGACCTATACAAAACTTTAAAATATATTTTTCCAGTACAATGAAAAGCTTTTAACATCTTCTTTTCCCTTGACCTAAAAAAACTCCTCAAAGCTTAATGTAATGCACTGCACTAAATTAACACAACCAACACTAGAATAGGTTTTTCAGCATGATCTTGTTATCAAATTACATTACTTTTCTTTATTCAAGTGTTCTTGGTAAAGCTGAAATGTTAAAAAAAATATTATAAGTCATTAGTCTTATTTTTGGCTTGGGCTACAGGGTGGTACCTCTTATATCTAAGTARATGAAAAATCAAAATACATGCCAGTTGAGGTAATGTGTGGTATGAACTTCATGGAAGAGACCCTTATAGGGAGTGATGGTTGTAAGAAACAAGGAGTTTCTTTGCTCAGGCTTCACCCTAGGTTTCAGAAGCTCTCTCAAACCAGTCCTTTTCATTTGCAGGTCTATAACGAAACCTCCAAAGGGGAAGCACTGAAATGAGAAAACCTATGCAACCCAGTGTAAGCTTAGAGCAAAATGACCACAAATTCCAGACATTTAGTAGCATTAAGTTTCTATCAATAAATATATTATTGTATTCAAGTCAGACTGCACTTCCAACAACTGACTTTATGTGACTGCTAGAGATGAGATTCCCAGCCCTTTCCAAACAGAAACTCCCAAAGCAAGAAACCTGACTAAAGGGAAAAGATGATATGATGATGGATTGATTGATTGAAGCCAAAACATGAGAAAATGTGCCACATCTGGACATGTCTGAGATGAAGAAAAATGAAAAACCATCCAACCCAAGTATAAAGCACAGGAGTAGATGGTGTGTAAACTAGGCTTTGACAAACCTTTTTCATGGTTGATCCCATCTGTGCAGGTGACATTGTCACTTCAACACCAGCATCTTTCAAAGATTGAATCTAAAGCAAACAGAAGAGAAAAGAAATCATATATATCATATATTATACTTTATATATTATACTTTATGTTATACAGTATACACAAAAGTTTTGCTAATGTATTCTTACTTTGTGTTCAGCTCCTCCTCGGCCTCCAGCAATAATAGCTCCTGCATGTCCTGTACATCACAATAAGAAAATAAATTCTATAACAAGATTATATTTTTTCTTTTATTATTAGTGCGTAGGAGGTAGAGAGGGGGAGGGGGTGGGGCAGGGGGAAGGGGGAGGGGATGAAATCCAGGGGTGGTTTACTTTCTAGAGTAAGTTTCCTAAAGCTGAAGGTCTTCCTCCTTTTGCATGAAATTCATTTCAATGACATGGACAAGCAGGATGTGAGGTGTCAGGAGCCCAGAATACTTTACGCAATAATGGTTTTAATTAACAGAATCTTCAGTGCTGCTGGTTCTTCTAAGGGTGGTTGGTACATGTCGAACTTACCCATTCTTCTTCCGGGAGGTGCAGTAATACCAGCAATAAATGACACAACTGGCTTAGCATTATCACCCTGGTTGTGTTCTAGTAGGTATTCGGCAGCTCTCTCTTCAGCTCCACCTCCAATTTCACCAATAAGAATAATACCTGTACACAAAAAATACACATATCAAATGAAAATACCATTATTATATAAACTACCATGTTTTACAGTGAGATTTCAGCTACCAAGAATATCATATCTAAACACACATAAAAATATAATTTTACTTTATGAGTTAATACCAGCCAATCGGTTGTCTTTGTATGTATCACTCAATAAAATCATATTACATAAATGCTTGATATTTGTTGATATAATGAACAAAACAATACGTGGGCACTTGGAGATATGAAATTGATTTTCTTGTGTTTAAAGACCAATTTCAGCATTCCAAACACCATTCCCCTAAGGGTAAACTTTACATGTAAAAAAGAACAAGCTTCAGAGAATGATATACTGTATGTTCTCAAATGGGAAAATGAAGGAATTTTTTATTATAATTTTTCAGTCTTATATTCGAATATGAATATTTTCAGTCTTATTCTGAAAATCACAAGAGGATTTTTATATGTTATGTAGTGTAATGTTATGAAAATTGTACCTTTTGTTTCAGGGTCATTCAGGAACACCTCCAGGCAATCTACAAAATTTGTTCCGTTGAATGGATCTCCTCCAATTCCTGTAGCACAATAATGCAATAACATGTTGATTAAGAATTGTGTGGTCCTGAAGATGAAACTACCCTTATCAAGGACTCAGGAGCAGTCTAAGAAATAGAGGGGGTCTAAGATTTGAAAATATAGTACAGTAGACTAACTAGTACGTACAAGACTAAAGTCTGCGGGGCTGAGACTTGAAAATGTAGTGCATATTAGCAAGATTTGCTTGCGTTTGCATTCAAGTCTCCAAGCCCTCCTCTCTGTGGTCCCTGCTTGTGAAAAGGGTGATACTGTACAAAGGCCTGGGCTGTGGTTAACCTCTAAATCACCAATTGAAATCTATATATGTATTTAACACTGCAAACAAGTACAATTACAATGAAGACCTTAACTTCAAAAATGTCTTCTCTTGAATTCATTTTCTTCAACACAGTTTTCTTTCTGTGGAGTCTAAAAAGATGCAGGGAGATGTTTGAGGGAACTTACTAACCTACACAAAGTGTCTGGCCAAGTCCAGTTAGCGTTGTTTGATGTACAGCTTCATATGTCAAAGTACCTGACCTGGACACAATACCTACAGTATAAAGTTTAAGATATTTACAAAGATTACATATCAATTAATGCAATAGGACTAAATGCTGCACAATTTAGAAATGTTAACAGAATCAAAAAATCCTGTGGACTGCTAAAACTGGATAAGCAGAACAATATATTTTTAAATACCAATATGTCCCATTTATACGAACATACTGTCCATATAATACACTTTAGTTATATCACCAAAATGTCCAAATTAATTTGCATATACTGTATATGTAAGTTCCCCATTCCATTTGTTAATTTCCCAAGAAGTAATCAATTTTTAAAATACAAATATAGTCCCATTTATAAAAACACACTGTCCATATAATACACATCAGTTATATCACCAATATGTCCAAATTAATTTGGATATACTGTACATGTAAGTTCCCTATTCCATTTGTTGATTTCCAAAGAAGTAATCATTTTGATATTTAAGTCACTTATTCTTGAGTGGCAAGTTAAAAAGCCTTATTTAACATCAGTGTTTCCCCTAGCTCTACAGTATCTATCAGTTCTCTGTTTTAGAGTATACAAAGCTGAAGCTACATGGTCTTACAAGGATCAATGATCTATTGAATTGATGGAAAGTGTATTTACAGGATTGCTGCACTATCAGCAGAAGTGTCACAATACATGTAGGTAATGCTCACCAATAATTCCTGGTCGATGGATATGCCCTGGCATGATACCGATTTTACAGGCACCAGGCTGAAATGCACAAAGAAAAGAATATGAGACTGTTTAAATATTAAAATTTAATCATGGTATACTAATCATCCTCATCACTGTCATCAGTTTTGCATATGATTCTTGTTGAGCATATGACATCATAGTCACCATGCTGGTTGAGATTTAGTGTCTTTCATTATATCAACATGACAGTCATGTCTTTTGTCATTGGCTGTCTTGAACAAATTTCTTTTGTCATAACAATGCCTTTTGTACCTTATTTTGTCATGAGAAGGGATGCCACACCAATTACACTGTGTCAAACTCATGTCAAAATCAAACAGAGATTTCTATTACCTTAATGATACCAGGACAGTTTGGGCCAATCATACGTGTCTTGCCTTGTCTAACAAGCCGATGCTTTATCTGGTCATAATACAAAGGAAAACATGTTTCAATACCACTTTCAATTATTCTCAATTCTTGAATTCAATTCACTGGTCTTTCGAGGTAGCTACTGTAAGGTATGCATATCAACTAATAACTTGTGTGTAAGATTGAGTAACGGTTTTATAAATCGATCAATTGAAATTAACTCTACCTTGACCATATCTTGTTGTGGTATCCCTTCTGTAATGCAMACTATAAGACCAATTTCAGCTTCAATAGCTTCATGTATAGCATCAGCGGCAAATGGAGGTGGGACRTATATTACTGAAGCATCAGCTCCTGTCTCTTCTTTGGCCTGGGTTTAATATATAAAGTGAGACTAAGAATGACTTGTCAGCCTCTGTTTATTGTGTTTATCATATTCACAACAACAAAAAACACTCTGGGTGGAGATGCAACAACCTAACAGCCAATCTTAGCACAAACTGACCAACCAATTTCTGACAATATTGGTATATACAACAGACACACCACCCAGTCTAAACCATCGAATTATTTATTAATGATAACTTTTGCAGATTGGTTAATTTCAATGAATGCGAAGCTTGAATTAGAGTGTAGTGCTCATGGTTTACCTCTTTAACAGTATTGAATACAGGAAGCCCAAGATGAGTGTTTCCACCTTTACCAGGAGACACACCACCAACCATGTTAGTACCATACTCAATTGACTGCTGGCTGTGAAAAGTACCCTGGAGAAAAAAGAGCAAAATCCAATGAAAACCTAGAAAAAGGGATCCAATAGAGAGTTGCCGCTGTATGATGGGGATTCTGTTTGTTTTCTCTTATACATTGCACTTCAAGRGGTTGTCTCCATGCTTTCCAATTTTCCTCACTCCACAAGAAATTTAAATCATCTTTCAGGGACCTTGTTTATTGGAATTATAAAACCTGTGAGGTTCTCTATGCAGCCTTACCATCCTTTGCGTCTAGGCAAGAACATCAAAAATCAAGACATGTTTTAACTTGCAGTCTCATAAAAACTTGTTAGCCAGAACTTAAAAGGAAAAGACGGTCCGGTTCGAAATTGAAAATTTTTGATATTTTAGTTGACAAACATACAAGTTTCAGGAGCTGGTTACAACATTTTTTGACATCTGGCGTTCAGGCCTAGATGAAAATGACCTGGCTAACTAAGTTACATCATTTTAGCAATTGCATGTGTAATGTTGAATGTGGAATCGCCAGGGCATGTGCTGGAATTCCATTCAAGATGCATGCAATTTACAGCTGCATAAGTTGCTTGATATACTTTGAGGATCAGTTCACTTAGATAACATTACAACAAATATATAATTTATATATTCTCATGTACATGCTTAATGTGTTACCTGCTTTCCTGTGAATCCCTGGCAGATGACTCTTGTGTCCTTGTTAATCATGAGATGACTTCTAGTGTTGTTATAGAGGTTATCACTAACATGACGAATACCAAGCTGTTCTATATTAGCACCTGGACATCAATCAGATGGAGTGGCAGTGAGATTTAAGCAATTTTAGATTCTATTGCATTGCCAGCACACAAGAAAATGGAAGCAATAGACCCTTTTCGAGTTCCAAATTAGCGCTGTGTTTCTTGATTACAGATCATTTACTCAGGCTTAGCGTTGATTTTATGAAGAATATTCACGTGTTCCAGTCAAGGTCCGTCGAGTTTCAAAGTGCYCGTATTGTTGAAGTTGTGCATTCTTTACTTTACCATTGGYATTTGCGAGTAATTAGACAATGATTTGAGGCTAAGCCTGAGTAAATGAGACTGTAATCAAGAAACACAGCAGTAATTTGGAACTCACAACTGGACTATTAAAACAAAAGTTGGCTCTCCTCAAACTCCGAAAATTGCATTTTGGTATACTATAACTACTAGAATTTTTATGSCAAATCTAAAATTAAGATGCCAGTGAGAGACAAACCAGCACTAAAAATAATGACTGCCTAATGGCCGCACATGATGACCAGCCAAATCGATATGTGACCAGTCAATGTGACCAGTCAAGAGGACCATCCTTGTTAGAGGCATTCAGACAGACACTGACTTTAGCCCTGCAATCCATATTGTTTATTGACAACTTCAGGAAATTTAAACGTAAATTTGGTATTGTGAGGCTCATTATTTATTCCTAACTTTAAACTAAAAAAAGTTGTAAGAACATCACTCCTGGTATAATGCTTTAAATATGATTCCTGTTCTTTTATACAAAAATATTCAAAGCTCTCTGAAGGGCTTAAGCCTTGGTGATTTTTGTAGCTACAGCAACCTGCATCCAGACATGTAAATCAGTACAGTAGTACAGGTAGTACAGACTAGAGTATTATGCACTATAGCATATTGCGTAACGTAGTACCATGGGAATAATTTCTATGCACCCTGGAATAGTAACTAGCAGAGGTTTATATCATTATTACGCTTGAAACCATCGCTTGATTCAAAACTAAGGAAACAATGTACTCGTGTACAAAGATTTGCATACGTGGTTTATAAAGCCGGTCAGTTGATCGTATCACCAAAAAAAGCTGGCAAAAAATCCACAYATTTTCGCAAAAACGGTCCTAATACCACAGAAGATGATCAAGCTATGCAAAACTGCAGTAATTTTAGTGAAAGAGTGGGAGAAAATGTATATTTTTGTGCAAAAATCTTACCAATTCTRCGAAGAGCCACACGAAACGCCATCTTGGAAAGACAACCTCGCCAGCTTACCCACAATGCAGTTGGATATTGAGGACTTGTAGCATTGTGGGTAAATTGCCGATGTTTTGGCGTTCGATTTGAAAGCAAAAGGRTTGTATCAACAAATGACACTGATATTTTATGGATTTAAACGAAGATTTTGAGGTTAGTACGCCATGTTTGATAGTACAGAGCTCACAGAATGAAACCTCTCAAAGAATGTGTCAATCGGACAGCGATCCTTTCTTTCTAAAACAGCTGAACATTTCCCGATCGCCGGAGTCAAGATGGTCTTCAAGCAAAGTAAATTCATTGGATGACAAATCCTTGAATACAGATAAATCAAATCCCAGAATTGTGGAAGAAAGTATTGGAGCAACACAATGTGGTGTCATGAAGAGYGCTGGTGGTTCTGGAAATGAAAAAAATCAGAACAAGACATCTGAACAAGGCCAAGGAAGCAATAATAACAACAGCAGCGACGTACAAAGGCATGCCCAGACTTGCCCGGTACAAGGTCCTGGAGGGGGTGGGGGTGGTGCTGGTGGAGATGRTAACGAAAATAACTATGATAGCCATCATGAACCAAGCACCTGTGATGAAGACACCTCACATTCAGAACCAGCCACTAGTAGTCCAGACTCTCTTCCTGATCTTATCAAACCAAACGAGGCTAGAAGTACTTACCTTAGTGATAACAGTCTGTCTACAAATTCTTCTGGTCCAGCAGAGGAGACAATAAGCCAGGCTTCCACAGCTATTGTYGGCGATGTTCCAATAGTAGCTTCATTATCAAAAAAGTCATCATCTTCATCATCAAGTGGAGGTAAAGATAATTATAAGACTTTTTCAAACTCACTTCCATTTTGGTCATTTCACCTCCATTTGCCTCATTGTGCCTTAAAAYGCCTTCTTATGGAAAATATTATGTTATTAATCATATATTGCTTAATCAAATATGACACAAATGCCTTGATTGAAACAATTACTATTTATAATATACCCTCAAGTCTGCTATTTAATATACTCTAACTTTGCCCCCCCCCCCCCCCAGAAAATTGATTTAAGGATAGCTTGAGCAAATCATTTTATTTTCATTGTCATGGAAATTAAGAGGAAAATGGATAATCTAAATCTTAATCTTATCACCACAAACATTTCCATAAGCATTTAGATTTTTAATGTTATTGGGATCCCTGTGTTTAAAGTGCTGAGAGGGAGGAATAATGCATTGATGTCATTATGCCATTATGTCCTCTTGATAAATGCRTTACTGTTTTTGTGGTGATTCTAATCATAAATATTTTTTGTTTGTGTGTATGCTAGGCTACAGATCTGACCTGACAAACAGCTCCTCTGCCTACCAAGGTTCTGTTAGCAGYACTGGGCTAAGCAGCTTGTCTAGTGACTCACATGGAGTTTCTTCAGGAAGTTCTCATTATCCCCTTCCCCTTGTCATGCGCACTCAAGCTGAACTGGATTCTAGTACCTCGGCCAGTAATGAAAGCAGAGATGGTCCAACGCACCAGAAGTGTCAAGGGTTCACCCACTTAGAGTCTTTAGAAGAAAATGTTGATAAAGAGGAGCACAGTGCAAGTGATTCAAGTAAAGAACAGAWTGAACAAGAATGCTCTTCCCAGGAGGATTTGTTTGGCTTTCACAAAGAAGATTCGCATTCCATGTCATCACAAGAAGTATCAAGAATATGTACCCCCCAAGATAGGTCTACCCCTGTGGAACAGAAACTGAGTCAAGAGAAGACCTCGGGTGGCGTTTCGTCCTTACAGAGACAAGTCTTATCTATACAAACCTCCACGCCTTTTGAATCAAACCAAGATATGCAACMAACTCCTCCAAGTCAAAGCATCCCTCCTAATCAACCTTTTCAGTGTTTTCATTTTTCTGGTGAAGTGGTGAAAGAGAGCAGTGAATCTTCGTCTTCTGGAATCGTGAAATCATCTCCTGAAGCGTTAACAGGCGTTCCGTTAGTTATTCCTGCTTCTCCGACGTCACCCACAAAATCCAAACAGTCCTCGAGTAAACGTTTGCAAGATGGTTCGAGTAGTGGTAGTGGTCAGAGTTCTTCTTCACTAGAACAGAACACTACAAGTAAAAGTACCAACCGCAGCGAAAAAGACAGCAGCGAGTCTTCCGTGGACCAGCTCCCGCCATCGCCCAGCTCGTTTCGCTATCCCTGGARAAAAGTTAGCTTGCTCCCTTCACCCGAAGAACTAATCAACCAACAGGACAAAAACCAATGCAACAAAGATAATGACGATGCAACAATTATAACGACAGATAATGACGATGAAGAATTCATTGGGTTACCGCGTTGGCATCAGGAAGTGATCCAAGAAAATAAGAAAGAGCAGCCAGTTTCTTCGAAGTCTTCCTCTTCGTCTAATACGACTTCATCGGCTTCTAGCAATAGTTTAGGGAAAGAAAAAGAAAGCTGTTCTGTTCAACAAGATGGACAACATTCATGGCAGTCGGACATGCCGAGTATTGCTGAAGCAAGCAAAAGTTCAATTTTGAAGCATGATCGTTCGTCCGAGGTAAAACACGTTAAATTTCTCATGGATATCAGTGAGTCGGGACAYGATTCAAATGAAGAAATCAAAAAGAGATCCGAAAACACAGAGAATAGAAGACCTGAGAGTATTGACATGAATCCTTCATTGTCTCCTTCATTAATAGATGGGCAAAAGACTCTCGCTAAAGTTAGCACTCCGTGTGATAAAGAAACGCCTCAAACTTCTGGCTTTCGCGGTCCTGGATCGACCTGCACACAACCAGAATTGTCAGAAGATCTTTTCTGCCCGTTGCTGTTTTCCACTCAAGAAAGTACTCAAGATAAAGACAAAAACTTTCAAAACGAAGCAAATGCCTCAGGTGAAGGTTGGTGTAAATATCTTGAATCTTTTGTTTGATCGACTCAAATATTTAAGTGCATAAAACGTAACATGATGAATAGTGTACGCTTACTGCTACGCAATCTTGCCACCTTGTTTATAATTTTCGGCTCATAATATATTTTCTTACAGGGGTCCAAATAGATGAAGCAGAGGAGCCAGAATTGGGGTCTCAGTCGATGGCTTTTGACCTTCATTTTTCTCAATCTCAATCCGACATGGATTCCCCTCCCCTGATTCCAGAGCCCTCCAGTCCCCCTGCCCCAAGCACGTCTTTTACAGCAGTACTTTCAAGGAAAGACGATTCAAGTGGTTCAAATCCAGAGCCTCCGATCACGTCTTCTCCTGCCACACCTTTATCGACAGCTTCTACTGATGTAACAAGTAATGTTGTCGTACCCTTAAGTTCGTTATTGAAGAACCAAAATTCGAATAGCGGTTGTACCCAAAGCCAATCAATCCTCGGGCCTGTTGTCAAGGATACCCAGGATGACTATCGTTCCTTGCAGCAACATGACGTAAATGAAGACCATGCTTTAAAGGCTTCGGAAAGTCTTACGATTCCTAAACCTTTGGAACTTGACGAGATGGACGATGCTCCTGATAGAAGTATAGTTCCAGCACTATCATCTGAAACATCTAGTGATTCTGTTACTGGACTTGGATTCCATTTCTCACTGCCTACGACTACCGAACCTCTACGCCCCGTCACGTGCACGACGCCACCTCCCATGCGATCACGACAGCCAGCTTTACCAACGACAGTCTGTGAGACGCCTGGAATCTTTTYTCAAGGTATAAAATTATGTAAAAATAGATTCCGTACGAATGGTAAACGATCCTCCAGTTATAGGCCATTTACACTAACAGGCTCGTGAACCTATCTCTTTAAAAACAATGGAAAAAGCACCTTGATTATAGAAGGTGGATTTGAGTCACTCGATCTGTTCGTGAAAATGGCCTAACTTAGATTTAGATTTTAATAATTAATTAATTTCTTCGTTTCTTTATTTCTTCATTCATTCATTCATTTATCCATCCCATCTTATCCCATTTATTGATTAATCGATTCATTGTTTGTTTGTTTACTTACTTACTTAATTTATTTTCTATTTTTTATTTACTTATTTATTTATCTATTATTTGTTTGTTTGTTTGTTTGTTTATTTATTCATTCATTTATTTATCTATTCATTTATTTATTTATTTGAACGCTTTTACTCTTACTAGAGTCTAATGTTATATCAAGGACGAAACAACAAACTACTCCGTCGCTAACATTCTCCATGCCAAGACAAAGCGAAAGTGAGAGTGAAATCATTTTCCAGATGCATGGTCCACAGTCGTCATCCAGTTCTTCGTCCACCACAGATCCACTAGAAGCTTCTCGAACAATGGAACTGTCTGTCTTTGCGCAAGTACGGGATGTGACAAGCAGCTCGAGACGGCGAAAAAATGACAAAGATGATGAATACAACCCTTTTGAGTTCACGTCACAAGATGACATTTCTAAACATCCACCAATGAGTAGGCGCAAATCTAGAAAACGAGGCCTCGAGCTCCCGAAAGAGCAGTCTGCGTCAGGAAATTCAACAAATTCGGACCCACAAGTCAATAAGATTAGAAGAATTRATCCAAGTCGCGAGTCAAATGTTGACGGAATTCGAATATCAGATAAAGACAATAAAAAAATTGATTCCGGGCGATCTTCAGCTGCATCGGGAGACGATTCGTCAGTCCAACGTTTCCACAGGGTTACCAAAACAAAAATAATAAAAACGATCACAACAAAAATTGTTAAACACATCACGATTATCACAACCAAGGAAGGCCAAGATAATGAAATTGTTGATAACACTTCTTTTGTCGAAGAAGAACTCCCTAAAACTGAACAAGTGGAAGACTATGAAACAGAGGAAGTGAATTTCCTTCAACGAGATGATTCCATCTCCGAAATCTTGCGTCCACCACAAACAACACCACCTACACAGCCAATGGAAGGTAACAGAAAATCCCCTAGGGGCAAGAAACGGACCAATCAAAATAAAGAGGAATTACACAGCGAAAATTCAAAGAGACAAAAATTATCTTCAGATCAAGGTAAAAAAACGAGTGACGACACTTCTGAGGCGGATGGCAAGACAAAAGAAAAACCATCAGAATCACCGAAAAAGAACCCGTTGAAAGACGATGGCAGTAAATCTCCGCCATTACTTCGACGAAAATCGACTGAAAAAATCGCAGAAGTAAAAGCGAGAAGCTCTAGAACCCCTGAAACAGCTTTAAATTTGACACCGGGCACTCGAGTATTTGCCCATTGGTCCGACAATTATTTTTATCCGGGGGTTCTAACGTCTGGTGCAAGTAAACTGGGGTTTTATAATGTAACTTTCGATGACGGAGACAAACGCAAAGTGCGCGCTGAAAGGCTTATTCTTAGGGATTCTCTTCATGTTGGCCAGCACGTCCTCGCTCAAGACAGCGATGGATATTACGACCCAGGGGTCATCGCGGGCCATTATAGGAGTGAGGGTGAAAATGGCTACGAGATCAAGGACAAGAGGGGGAAGATCAAGAGATACCCCACTAAAAAGGTTATAATAAACGAGGAGCAAGCTGCTGCTATTTTCAACAGTAGTAGCAGCCTTTCAAGAACAAGTAGTTCAAGTGTTAGCGCTGAAGGGTCCAGAACTAAAAGCACAGATTTGTCTACGAGTGCTAAAGATACAAGCGGTAGCTCTAACGACTTAACGCATCATCGCGGTGTTTCTATGACAAGTCTTTCCACTACCAAAACTACGAAACCCAACGATGAAACGCCTAAATCTTCAAGGAAGAAGTCCTTCAGGAAGAATCGAAAGCAGCCAACATCGTGTCGAGGTAACCAGACTGTACAGAGCAGCAGTGAAGCGAGCAGTGATGAACCTAATAAAAGAACCCGTGAGAAACGCGGAGCCAGAAGAGAACTAGCAAAGATTTTACCAACAAGAACGTCACCTAGAAAACAAAAAGAAAAAGCAGAGGATGATCATGACGAGGAAACAAGCGCACTGGGCCCTCTTCCTTCTGACGATAGCCTGTTCGCTGGATTCGCCTTTTTGATCACGGGTTGCCATAATGTAAAAGAAAAAGCTCACAAAAATGATTCCCCTGACAGCGAGAGCGAGTTCGTGGAGTTCAGCCGAGAGCATCTTGTCCGTCAGATTGAAGCTGGTGGAGGCGTTGTTTTGAAGGACTTCGAGGAGACGCAGATTTCTGGAGCAGACCAGTGCTTTCTTGTATCAAGTTCCCACCAAAGAACAAAAAAGTTCTTCCAATGTCTTKCTTACAACATCCCCATAGTCCACCATAGCTGGATTAACGATAGCTCGATACTCGACCGGCTTCAAGATTATAAGAAGTACTTGTTGCCGGCTGGTACCAGCCTGGAGACTGGTGAAGTGGTGGAATGTCAGACACAGTCAAGGCCAAAGGTTCTCCAGGGGTTAAAGGTAAGAATAGGTCTGGGTTCAGGTAATCAAGGGTGGTATAGTGGTATTGTACTCGCCTCTCCCCCCTGGGGTTTCAAATTCGATTCCTGAACTCGGCATCACATGTGAGTATAGTTTGTTAGGTCTCTCCCTTGATTCGAGTGTTTTTCTACGGTTTTTACTCCCTTCGAGTAAAATTACAATTACAACACGCTAAATTCCAATTCCACTCATGTGAATTRGCCGAGCCCTTGGTCAGTTCAAAAGGTTGTTTCAGGGTATCAATAAAACTCGAAGTAAAAATAGGTTGCAATCTTAATATCGTACCATTCACCCGCGCTCTGGTGCCGCCGGAATGCTGCGTTTGGTGAGACCCAGTTGATCACCGTATAATTATTTTAGTTTCGGCTTTTTGTCTTAGGTTTATCTTCATGGCGATMAGAAATTTAAACATATTTGGGCAAGCGTAGCTCTTGCTGCGGGATCTGAAGTGGTTGGTAAGCTTCCGAATCGACCAGTCCGGGCCGCTCAGCTAGACGATTTCGATATCATATGTGACGTCATCATTTCTGGAACCAATACATTGCCTGCTAGTATAAGACACACAGTAGAGATGCTTGGGATCCCTGTGGTGGGTCTTGAATGGCTCTTCCAGTGTCTTATAAATGGTTTTCTGGTACCGTTTGATGGACACCCAAAATATGATTATAGGAACATACAAAAAGATGATAACGCCAATCTTTGAAAGAAAACTTTATGCGCATATATAGGTAAGCACTGAAACAAAATTCCCTTTTATCTAGAGAAGATATCGTGTGAATGAGCAGGCACACATATTATAACTCTCATCGTTGTCGTGGCATCTTGTGTTCAAGTTTTTGATAATCGATACAACTTCCGCTGACCTGTACAAAATATGCTCTGTACATAACAGGAGCTCAGCCAAGTAAGATAGGTCAACAGTATCGATAGATGGAACTCTTTACCTTGGGGGGAATGTTTTTACATTTCAGACCACGTGTCACTTCCCTTAAAAATATTTTTTTAAAAATTTAAGTTGTAKAAAGACCTTGTCATTATTTGCAGCAATCCCGTAGCTTTTTTCTTAGTGGAATGACACATCACACTCCGCTCCAGCAATCTTGTTGAAAAATACTTGTATTCCCGAAAATGCTTTAAAGTATTGCGCGTAGCCCAGAATTATTCACTAGAATTTTACCGATTGCATAAAAGGATAGAAGAAAGCTAATCAGCTCATGCATTAATACTTTACGCACTCGAAGTGTTTGGCTGGCGTTGACCGCGGCGACAAATTTGATCAATTTCCAAGTACTTTTACTTTGCTTCCTCATTTACCATGGACGTGATAGGTCTTCTATTGAAAAATAATCAAGCCGTTTTAAGAATATTCAACATTATGGAGTACTTGACATGATATTCTCAAAATTAAGTATATTTTATTTTATTTTTTTATTACTCAAAGGCCCCGCAATCAAGAAATAAGGCAATACTGTACAAATGTTGGTCTAAAGACCCTAAGTGCTCTCAAGTTCCTACTACAACACTCAAGATTACCTATAACAATTACAGTAAAACTCTATGATCCCACACCCGAATAATACGGACACCTCGCTATTACGGACAGCTACTAGTATTACAGCGTGCCCGTGTCAAGCAGGTTTGTTAGTTATAAGAGTAGTGGGAGCATTGATTTTTTAGGAGGGGAGGAAGGGGGCGGAGAAATAGCTGTAAAGATGCGCCCAATTTGCTAGCCCCCCAGCTTAGCCTTGAACATTTTAAATGGCCCTTAAATAAAAATAATAAGAAACTGATAATTACCAGAGAAAAATATTTGATCGCCCTATCCTTAATCGCTCCTGTCCTCCCTCTCTTTCTATGAAATCAATGTTCCCTTACTATCACGGCCCACCTTATGTGGTTTTTATGCATTTTTTTAGCGATACTTTTAATAGTTAAGAAAAGAAAACGGGTTTTAGTATTTGACAGGCATTGTGGTGACTAAGTTATCCACCTTGATTGTATGCTAAGGCCCGGTTACCTTTAAAGTAAAGGCCTGGTTACCTTTCAAGTAAAGGCCCGGTTACCTTTCAAGTATAGGCCCGGTTACCTTTCAAGTAAAGGCCCGGTTACCTTTCAAGTAAAGGCCCGGTTACCTTTCAAGTAAAGGCCCGGTTACCTTTCAAGTAAAGGCACGGTTACCTTTCAAGTAAAGGCACGGTTACCTTTCAAGTAAAGGCACGGTTACCTTTCAAGTAAAGGC